GTACCACATTTTTATTACTCTTTGCCAGTTGGTAGACATGTGGATTGTTTCCAATTTGGGGTGATTTGAATAATTCAGCTGTTATAGAAATCTTCTTTGAAGAATTATACCCCATATCATATTCTGGATGACTTTGAAGTAGTATATAAATTATCATCCAGTCTAAGAGAAAGCAGTGATGATCCTGAGGCTCGTAAAGCAGCAAGGTTATCTGTCCCTCCTCTGTCAACAGCTGAAAATTCTCGCTGTTGCCAGGCGAATACATCATCAAGGAGGACAGACTATATAGAAAGGACAGAGGAACTGAATGAAGGTTGTCTCCTGCATTCAAGATTTTGTCGTTCTTGTTTGCTGCTTTTGTTTGTTTTTTTGGTGAAAAACCATTTTGTCTGCTGAGAGGTCTTTCAGAAAACGTTCTTTTGGGTTGGTGGTTTTCAGAAGTCTGAAGTTGAAAGAGCAACGTTGCTGTAGATGCAGAAGTAGGATAATAAGCACAAAGGAAGAGGGCTGGGAAAATAAACAGAGGAGAATATAGGGACAAGGGCAGCTGGCAGGTGCCAGCTCCCAGTTGGAACACCTCCCCGAGGTCCACTCCTCTGTGCCTCTTCAGTGGGTTAGTGATAACCATGCAATGACCACATTAAGTCTCAAAAGCCAATGTCCTGCCTGTCTTATTAATAATCCCTAGCTGTTGCCCTACTTGCTCAATTCCTCCTCGCTCAACTGTGGAGCTCCTTTATGCCAGTTGTTGATAGAGTAACAGGAAAAATGACATTCCTGAGAACGTGTTAGTGTCATGCAAGGACACTCCAAATCTCCTTGCTTGCTTTTCTTTTAAGCCTTTGGAAAACTCTGTGATGTTTCTGGATTCTGCTTAGCTGAGAGTACCTTCTTTGGTGTCATAGGCAAGAAATTGAGAGGAGTCTGTCTGATTACTGCAAACTGTGTGTGTCTGTACTGTTCCAACCCATCCAAAATTAAACTGATTTTTAAACATTCATCTTTGTATTGTATTAATCAAACCAATCAAGAATCCGGTACTTTCACATTTTAAAATCAGGAAAAATCCTCCTTGTCCCTCTAAAATAAATTTCAAGAATTTTGAAATGTTAACCTTTGGTGAAAAATAATATGATTGTTTTTTCTCTTGTTGATTCGCCAAACAGAAAAAATATCGCCAACATCCAGATACACTCAAGTTTACCTCAATTGAAGACGCTCCAATTATAGTGCAGTCTAAAATTAACCAGGCCCAGAGGAGCGATGTAAGTGTTAATCCTATTTGTATTTTAATAAGCGTTAACTAATATTAATACAAATAAATTTGTATCTCAAGTGTACTGATCACCTGCAGTTATGTAATCCAAAGAACTTCAATTATATGAGCAACTGTATAACCCCCCAGCTGTACTTTAATAAAGCACATGTAATTCATGTCTTTAGAGCAACGTATATTGTGCTAACTGTTCTTTTAGCCATTTGACATTGCTTTCTAAGGAAAAGGCAAAAGGTGTTTCTTTTACCATCAAGAAAAACTACAAGCCTATTTCTAGGAAATACCAGAAAGAATGTATATTGGCACTATATCAAATGGAGGAGTCATATTTTAAGTCAGAGCTAAACCAAGAATCATACATAATCAAAACCACCCAAATCCCTTTAACTGCCCACGAGGTACCGTGTTTCCCCGAAAATAAGACCTACCCAGAAAATAAGCCCTAGCAGGATTTGTAAGCATTTGGGCAATATAAGCCCTACCCTAAAAATAAGACCTAGTGATGGGCGTGGCTACTCAGCGGATCTGCACAACCCATGCATTTGGTTGCGGAGCGGTAAAGAAGATGAGCAGCCCTTCTCATCTGCCCCATGAGAGCTCTGTTGCTCGACATGAGAGATTGGGGCCAATGGTTTTAAAGGAAATAGAGTTGCAAGAAATTCAAGATGGAATTCGGGGTTTGGAGAGTTATGATGATGTTCCAGAAGAAGACAACTTAGCTATATTTGAATAAATGTAGATTGTTGTACCGTACTTAAAAAATAATAATAATAACACATCCCCTGACAATAAGCCCTAGGGTATCTTCTTGAGGAAAACTAAATATAAGACCCTGTCTTATTTTCAGGGAAACATGGTATAATGTAGGTGTTTGGTGTATTCCACCTTATTAGCCTTTCCTGTGCTCAGGAAAGCGTCTGCAAGTTAACATTTTCATTGGATCAGCTCCCTGGGCTGATTTCCACCAGGTGCCTCTACCTAGACCCAGAGGTTCCTAGACAGTACCAAGGGATCTTGCAAGACTGAGCCATCACTAAGGCAGGACCCTATGCAACTGCATGATTGACCTTGAATGCCTACAGATACTTGCATGTAATTTGGGGACATGCACAGAGTCCCTTAAACCACCTCTGTTCAATATGATCAACTTTGAAATTATCTTCCAGTGTCATTAAACGTTTCTATTTATTTGTTTATGCATTTTTTTTCTCCCCCAGATTGCTTATAAAGCCAAAGGAGAGGAAATTATTCACAAATACAACATGCCGGCAGACCTGCCCCAGTTCATCCAGGCTAAAGTTAACGCCTACAACATCAGCGAGGTGCGTGTGTGCGCTCACGGGCTGATGTGCGGGTCCAGCCTTTATTATACTAGCGTGGTCTCTGAGTGATATTCAAATGACATTTTTCTTTCAGAATACGTACAAAGCAGACCTGAAAGACTTGAGCAAGAAGGGCTATGACCTGAGAACTGATGCGATTCCCATCAGAGCTGCCAAAGCTGCCAGGCAGGCAGCAAGCGATGTGAGTCCAGTCGTGGTCACGCGTGTGTGACGAGAGAATGTGGGCAGGTGGTCTTGGGGTTTGCCTGTTACCCAAAAGTTGTCATGTGTGCTATCCCCAGCTGGAAGCAAGTCTGGATGAAAACTATTCAGGAAGGAAATTTCCCTAAATAGATCTGAATATTCTTGGAGGAAAGGATTTATGTAACTTTCTACTGATCGGTTCTAACAAATCCCCCTAATTTAAAATTCTCCTCTCTAAAATGACTTACCATTTAAGTCATAATAGCCTCCTGATGGTGAAATTTTATTTCAAAACTTTCTTAATTGATATGATTTCCCTGTTTCCCTTGCCTCTATTTTTTCCTTCATTACTTCTATAGACTGGTGAATTGGCCCCAAGATTCAAAGCCCCTAATAGTCATTAGGTTCCATTAAAGTTAAAAATCTTATTTTTTGTTTCAATTTTTAATTTTTAAAAATTGACATGTAATAATGGTACATATTTATGGGGTACATAGTGATGTGACACATGTTAATGTACAGTGATCAGATCCGAGTAATTAGCATATCCATCATCGCAAACGTTTATCATTTCTTTGTGTTGGGAGCATTCAGTGTCCTCTTTCTAGCTATGGAAACTGTATAATATTTTATTGTTAACTATAGTCATGCTACAGTGGTATAGAACACTAGATAGAGCTCACTCTGCCTATCTAGCTGTAACTTTGTACCCTTTTACAAATCTCTCCCTATCTCCCTTCCCAGCCTCTAGTATCCTCTGTTCTACTTCTTACTTCTATGAGATCAACGTTTTTTAAGCTAAGACAATTATTCTTTATCCTATTTTACTTTAACCCAGATGTGAGCTGAAGTCACTTTGCTCTTTGAGATTTAAATAAAATTGGCTCAGTTCCCCACCTGTTGTCCTATAGGAAGTGGAATGACTCCCAATACCCTCTGGGTTTCTGAAAATGCTCTGAGGTTTGCATTTCCCTCCAGCGACCAGTCTGGACATGATGGGTTGTTTTTTTTGTTGTTGTTTTTTTGTTTTTTGTTTTTGTGCTCACCAGGCTCTCTTGTGCATCTTCTTCTCTTTCTGCTCTGCATGACACAAACACAGCCCCTTCCTTTTGATTTCCCTCATCCCAAGCACAACTTGACTGACGGTTTGAAATGAGGTTTACCTTGCATCAATGTAAATAAGTTACAATTGAATAACAAATGTCCTTGCCCTGAAAAGCCCTCCCACCCAGAATTTCTCACTGACACCCTTTCTCTGTGGGTGCTTGCCTTCCACGACACCCGACTTACCACAAACATTCGTTCCCCCACATCTCAGCGTCCCAGGGTCCTCTTCTGGCCTCCCCAGGGAAGCTCAGTCCCCCTCACTTTGTAATTCAGAGCCAATTAATGTTTACCCACTCCTGGCTCTGGGTCTCCCTTCGAATACCCAAGGATTCATTAAAATTCTACTACTGTTACTAAAATTCTACCACTACTGTTATACTAAATTTCCATCACTAATCAAATGGCCAGCTACCTAGGGCTCAAGCAGCACAATATAATTGGCAGAGATTGTGAAATATTTACCTTTTCATTCTCTACCGGTGTCTAAGTGAAAAGGAACAATACAGAGATTTATATTGTCACTGATATGAATTATGGTAACACCCCCATCTCAACCTCTCTTGGGTGGGCAGAAGCAGCTACCGACAATCTAATGGGTTATAAATAACATTTTTATTTTAATAGGCTGCACTTCAAAGTATATACAGTTGAATAGCTAATGGTTTGGTTATGGAAATACAGTAATTTGTGGGAAGTTCAATTACTTTAAATTATGGCCTCATTGTTCTGTAAAACCTTCAAAATGACATTTTAAATTATGCCCACCTTTGTTTCCAATAGGTTCAGTACAAAAAAGATTATGAAAAAGGTAAAGGGAAAATGGTTGGCTTCCAAAGTATCCAAGATGATCCTAAACTGGTTCATTACATGAATGTGGCCAAGATACAATCGGACCGGGAATATAAAAAAGACTATGAGAAGACCAAGACCAAGTACAATACGCCCCATGATATGTTCAACGTCGTGGCGGCTAAGAAAGCCCAGGATGTTGCCAGCAATGTCAACTATAAGCATTCTCTCCATCATTACACCTACCTCCCCGATGCCATGGACCTGGAGTTGTCTAAAAACATGATGCACATACAGAGTGATGTAAGTGACATTCACTCCACAAGAAAATCCCCCTGTAAGTTCAGAGCCTGCCATGCAAGGAACCGCTGCCTGGCCCTCACCCCTCTCTTCTCCCATCTGCAGAACGCCTACAAGGAAGACTACAACACCTGGATGAAAGGCATCGGCTGGATCCCCATTGGCAGTCTCGACGTAGAAAAAGTGAAGAAGGCAGGTGATGCCCTGAATGAAAAGAAGTACCGGCAACATCCAGACACCCTCAAATTTACCAGCATCGTGGACTCCCCGGTTATGGTCCAGGCAAAACAGAACACCCAGCAAGTCAGTGATGTGAGTACAAGGAAAGGGAGAGGAAAGAGGAGACGGAGGGAAGCTTTTTGGAAAAGTAAATATTGATTGGTTCAACATTTTTACTCTCTGGGGCCAATATCTGTTCACTTTAAGTTTATTGTTTCTTAAATTAAAAAGCACAATTAGAATTATTTTTAGTTTGGGCATTAACGTTTTCTTTTACTTCTATCTGGCATTTCACATTCCTTTTAAAATCTTTTTCCTTTTTGACTGCCATTGAAATACTGTGTTATTGGATAAATCTGACATGATGAGAAAAGTTCTATTCTAGGAGTGCAAACACACACATACACTCTCTCTCTCTCTCTCACACACACACACACACACACACACACACACACACACACACAGAATTTAAGCTTCAGTCCCAGACACTTTTCTGTGGCACACTCATTGTATTCAATTCTATATTGAGTTGCTTGTATTTGCTTTTCCTGTATAAAATATTAATACAGAGAAGTAATACACATGAAAGTATGTTTTTGCTCCTAAGAATTCAGCATACACAATCATTCTAGAGACTTTTAACTTACGTCTTGGTGGAGATTAGTATTGCTGGCCTGCCTGTCCAGGAACAGTGTCTATGCTCTGGCTAAATCAAAGTTTCTAAAGGAAAGTTTGGTATATAGAAAAGTTAAAGAGACATCCAAATCACTCACTTGTTAATTCATTTAATGAATGCTCTTTGAACACCTACCATGTGTCAGGCACTGTATTATGTGCTGATGGTATAAAGATGAGAGAGATGAGGATGGGTGGTCTATAGGAATTCACAAGAATATAGGACAAGCGTATAAGACAAAGATGTGGATACAAAGAGAGCACTGCCATACAGAGGGACGAATGCTGCAGGAGAGGGATGTGTTAGGTAAATATAAGGAGTTTCCCTGACAAATAAGGGAAGGGTGCATTCCGGCAAAAGAAATGATGGAACAGTCAAGAGGGAATGAATGGAAGGACAGTGAAGGGTTTAAGACTGTAACCTGTTCAATGAGGGTCTTGTATGCTATTTTTTAGAGTCTGGATATTATGGGGTAAGAAATGGGAGATATTGAAGATTATAATCCACGTGGTTGCATTATCAGGCCTGTGTTTTAAAAGATAACTTTGGCAAAAATTTCGGAGACTTTGCAGAGGGGGGAGGTTGGAGGCATGAAAATGAATTATCACGAAAGGCTGCAATAGAAATCCCAGGAAAGGGCCGGGCGTGGTGGCTCACGCCTGTAATCCTAGCACTCTGGGAGGCTGAGGCGGGCGGATTGCTCGAGGTCGGGAGTTCGAAACCAGCCTGTTTGGTGGTTACCAGAGTTCATGGGATACATGTTGTTCTATTTGTAATTTTTGAGGGACCACCCATACTGTCTTCCATACTGGCTACACAATTTCACATTCTCACCACTAACAATTTTTTTATGCATTGTTATCCTACTTTTATTTGTTTAATTTTGCTGGTTTCTTCACCCCAATAGACTGTGAGGCTCTCAAGGGCAGGATCCAATGTTTCTTGATTTTTCATTCTAGTTAAAAGGCCCACACTAAAGAACAACAATTTGAATTTTGTATCTTAGGGCATAAGTTATAGGTATCATCTGTTGTTAGACAGTAAGAGAAGCTAATTATTTTAATATCATTGAGTAACTGTCCCTCGCATAGGAACGATTCCAAATAGTAACTGCTCCCTTAAGCAAATTAAGGAGTGCAACTATTTTAAAGTGTTTTATCAGGCAACGTAGAGACACCAAAGTTGACTAGTACACAGGAAGGGCCATGTGTGCAAACATTTAGTATAAATAATTAGTATCAAGTCTTGTAATAAAAAAATGGCAAAATTATCTCCCTTCCATGTACCTGTAGTTCTAACTTGCCATAGAAACGTAATAGTTAGAGTTCCAGGAGCAAACACCTCACATTTGATGATCTAAATAGAACAATTTCCTTTATTCTTTGAAATGCAGCTTTGAATGAGCATTTTCCAGATGGAATTAGAGTCCACGTACTTCCATTAAGTTGGAAATAAGGATGAAATGAAATACATGCCAGTTATAAGAAAAGCAAAATCCTAAGGGCTGTTGAGATCTATCACCACAGAAATGTATAAAACAAGCTTAATGTCTGGGAGTTGGTCAGAAATCCCAAAAACATCATTTTGGTAAAATGGTAGTGATTTTGTGTAATAAGGATGACACTGAGCAGAGAAATGTACCTTCCTCTTGGTGTTTTAGGTTGACTACAAGCCGACTACAACAGCTGGATGAAAGGCTGTGGCTGGGTGCCTTTCGGGTCCTTAGAGATGGAGAAGGTGAAGCGGGCCTCAGACATCCTTAATGAGGTAGAGCCACCGGTGTGTCCGAGGAGAGTTGTAATATGTTGTTTTAAACCCTCAAAGTCAATGGAAGTGCCTCCTTTTTTTTTTTATTCAAATTTTACGGTTTAAGTTTAGGTTACATATATTAAAGTTTAGGTACATATATTCATTGCCTTGCACCACCCAAGTCAGAGCTACAAGCGTGTCCACCCCATTAATGGGTGCACTGCACCCATTAAGTGTGCATTTGCCCATCCCCTCCTCTCCACTCCCAGACTGGCTCAACACCAGTGGCCTCCTTGACTGGTCCGTTCTCTAGTCTTTTGCTGAGGAAAAGAACTTACATGCACGAATATCCAGGTAGACAAGTACAAACCATTATTACCAAAATCATTTATGTTAGCCATTCACGCCAGAAATATTTTTTAACAACTTTATCGAGGTCCCAATTTGCATACATAAAATTCACTGTGTTACCTTGAAGTTTAAATAAATCCTTATCATTGTGTAGTATCGCTGCAATTGGATTTTAAAAATTTGAGCTGCTAGCACCTCGAAAAGTTTCCTCAAAAAATCCCTGCTCTCACTTTCAGGCCCAGCAACCACTGATTTGCATTCTGTATCTAAAGATTACCTTTTCTAGAAATTCTTTTGTATCTGGCTTCTCTCACTTGGCATAATGTTTCAGAGGCTCATCCACATTTCTGCATGTGCTTGTATAATTCATTCCTTTTTATTACTGAGTAGTCATTCTTTGTGTGATATACACGTCCACATTTTTATTACTCTTTGCCAGTTGGTAGACATGTGGATTGTTTCCAATTGGGGTGATTTGAATAATTCAGCTGTTATAGAAATCTTCTTTGAAGAATTATACCCCATATCATATTCTGGATGACTTTGAAGTAGTATATAAATTATCATCCCAGTCTAAGAGAAAGCAGTGATGATCTTGAGCTCGTAAAGCAGCAAGGTTATCTGTCCCTCCTCTGTCAACAGCTGAAAATTCTCGCTGTTGCCAGGAGAATACATCATCAAGAGAGGACAGACTATATAGAAAGGACAGAGGAACTGAATGAAGGTTGTCTCCTGCATTCAAGATTGTCGTTCTTGTTTGCTGCTTTTGTTTGTTTTTTTGGTGAAAACCATTTTGTCTGCTGAGAGGTCTTCAGAAAACGTTCTTTTGGGTTGGTGTTTCAGAAGTCTGAGTTGAAAGAGCAACGTTGCTGTAGATGCAGAAGGATAATAAGACAAAGGAAGAGGGCTGGGAAATAAACAGAGGAGAATATAGGGACAAGGGCAGCTGGCAGGTGCCAGCTCCCAGTTGAACACCTCCCAGGTCCACTCCTCTGTGCCTCTCAGTGCGTTAGTGATACCATGCAATGACCACATTAAGCTCAAAAGCAATGTCCTGCCTGTCTTATTAATAATCCTAGCTGTTGCCCTACTTGCTCAATTCCTCCTCGCTCACTGTGGAGCTCCTTTATGCCAGTTGTTGATAAGTAACAGGAAAAAGACATTCCTGGAACGTGTTAGTGTCATGCAAGGACACTCCAAATCTCCTTGCTTGCTTTTCTTTTAAGCCTTTGGAAACTCTGTGATGTTTCTGGATTCTGCTTAGCTGAGAGTACTTCTTTGTGTCATAGGCAAGAAATTGAGAGGAGTCTGTCTGATTACTGCAAACTGTGTGTGTCTGTACTGTTCCAACCCATCCAAATTAAACTGATTTTTAGCATTCTTTGTATTGTATTAATCAAACCATCAAGAATCCGGTACTTTCACATTTAAAATCAGGAAAAATCCTCCTTGTCCCTCTAAAATAATTCAAGAATTTTGAAATGTTAACCTTTGGTGAAAATAATATGATTGTTTTTTCTCTTGTTGATTCGCCAAACAGAAAAATACGCCAACATCCAGATACCTCAAGTTTACCTCAATGAAGACGCTCCAATTATAGTGCAGTCTAAAATTAACCAGGCCCAGAGAGCGATGTAAGTGTTAATCCTATTTGTATTTTAATAAGCGTTAACTATATTTAATACAAATAAATTTGTATCTCAAGTGTACTGATCACCTGCAGTTATGTAATCCAAAGAACTTCAATTATATGAGCAACTGTATAACCCCCCAGCTGTACTTTAATAAGCACATGTAATTCATGTCTTTAGAGCAACGTATATTGTGCTAACTGTTCTTTTAGCATTTGACATTGCTTTCTAAGAAAAGGCAAAGGTGTTTCTTTTACCATCAAGAAAAACTACAAGCCTATTTCTAGGAAATACCAGAAAGAATGTATATTGGCTATATCAAATGAGGAGATAATTTTAAGTCAGAGCTAAAACAAGAATCATACATAATCAAAACACCCAAATCCCTTTAACTGCCCACGAGGTACCGTGTTTCCCCGAAAATAAGACCCACCCAGAAAATAAGCCTAGCAGGATTTGTAAGCATTTGGGCAATATAAGCCTACCCTAAAATAAGACCTAGTGATGGGCGGCTACTCAGCGGATCTGCACAACCCATGCATTTGGTTGCGGAGCGGTAAAGAAGATGAGCAGCCTTCTCATCTGCCCCATGAGAGCTCTGTTGCTCGACATGAGAGATTGGGGCCAATGGTTTTAAAGGAATAGAGTTGCAAGAAATTCAAGATGGAATTCGGGGTTTGGAGAGTTAGATGATGATGTCCAGAAGAAGACAACTTAGCTATATTTGAATAAATGTAGATTGTTGTACCACTAAAAAATAATATAATAACACATCCCCTGACAATAAGCCCTAGGGTATCTTCTTGAGGAAAACTAAATATAAGACCCTGTCTTTTTTCAGGGAACATGGTATAATGTAGGTGTTGGTGTATTCCACCTTATTAGCCTTTCCTGTGCTCAGAAGCGTCTGCAAGTTAACATTTTCATTGGATCAGCTCCCTGGGCTGATTTCCACCAGGTGCCTCTACCTAGACCCAGAGGTTCCTAGACAGTACCAAGGATCTTGCAAGACTGAGCCATCACTAAGGCAGGCCCTATGCAACTGCATGATTGACCTTGAATGCCTACAGATACTTGCATGTAAATGGGGACATGCACAGAGTCCCTTAAACCACCTCTGTTCAATATGATCAACTTTGAAATTATCTTCCAGTGTCATTAAACGTTTCTATTTATTTGTTTATGCATTTTTTCTCCCCAGATTGCTTACAAAGCCAAAGGAGAGGAAATTCACAAATACAACATGCCGCAGACCTGCCCCAGTTCATCCAGGCTAAAGTTAACGCCTACAACATCAGCGAGGTGCGTGTGTGCGCTCACGGGCTGATGTGCGGGTCCAGCCTTATTATACTAGCGTGGTCTCTGAGTGATATTCAAATGACATTTTTCTTTCAGATATGTACAAAGCAGACCTGAAAGACTTGAGCAAGAAGGGATATGACCTGAGAACTGATGCGATTCCCATCAGAGCTGCCAAAGCTGCCAGGCAGGCAGCAAGCGATGTGAGTCCAGTCGTGGTCACGCGGTGTGTGACGGAGAATGTGGGCAGGTGATGGGGTTTGCCTGTTACCCAAAAGTTGTCATGTGTGCTATCCCCAGCTGGAAGCAAGTCTGGATGAAAACTATTCAGGAAGGAAATTTCCTAATAGATCTGAATATTCTGGAGGAAAGGATTTATGTAACTTTCTACTGATCGGTTCTAACAAATCCCTCTAATTAAATCTCCTCTAAAATGACTTACCATTTAAGTCATAATAGCCTCCTGATGGTGAATTTTATTTCAAAACTTTCTATTGATATGTTTTCCCTGTTTCCCTTGCCTCTATTTTTTCCTTCATTACTTCTATAGACTGGTGAATTGGCCCAAGATTCAAGCCCCTAATAGTCATTAGGTTCCATTAAAGTTAAAATCTTATTTTTGTTTCATTTTTATTTTAAAAATTGACATTAATAATGGTACATATTTATGGGACATAGTGATGTGACACATGTTAATGTACAGTGATCAGATCCGAGTAATTAGCATATCCATCATCGCAAACGTTTTCATTTCTTTGTGTTGGGAGCATTCAGTGTCTCTTTCTAGCTATGGAAACTGTATAATATTTTATTGTTAACTATAGTCATGCTACAGTGGTATAGAACACTAGATAGAGCTCACTCTGCCTATCGCTGTAACTTTGTACCCTTTTACAAATCTCTCCCTATCTCCCTTCCCAGCTCTAGTATCCTGTTACTTCTTTACTTCTATGAGATCACGTTTTTAACCTAAGAAAATTTCTTTTCCTATTTTACTTTAACCACAGTGTGAGCTGAAGTCACTTTGCTCTTTGAGATTTAAATAAAATTGGCTCAGTTCCCCACCTGTTGTCCTATAGGAAGTGGACTGCCCAATACCCTCTGGGTTTCTGCAAATGCTCTGAGTTTGCATTTCCTCCAGCGACCAGTCTGGCATGATGGTTGTTTTTTGTTGTTTTTGTTTTTGTTTTTGTGCTCACCAGGCTCTCTTGTGCATCTTCTTCTCTTTCTGCTCTGCATGACAACAACACAGCCCCTTCTTTTGATTTCCCTCTCCAAGCACACTTGACTGACAGTTTGAAATGAGGTTTACCTTGCATCAATGTAAATAATTACAATTGAATAACAAATGTCCTTGCCCTGAAAAGCCTCCACCCAGAATTTCTCACTGACACCTTTCTCTTGGTGTTTGCCTTCGACACCCACTACCACAAACGTTCGTTCCCCACATCTCAGCGTCCATCAGGCTGGTTTCGAACTCCTGACCTTGAGCAATCCGCCCGCCTCGGCCTCCCAGAGAGCTAGGATTACAGGCGTGAGCCACCGCGCCCAGCCCCTATCAAACATTTTACTTTTATAAACTATAGTCTAGGCTTTATAATTAAGTGAAAACTGTATTCAGTGAAAGTGACTATTCACAAAATATAAGAAGAAAGATCAATTTCCCTATGAAAGCTGAAAGGTAGATCATACGCGAAAGGAATTGCTATAGAAGATTTGTAATGTGTATCTGTACTTGCTAACTCAGGTCCTGTCTTTAACATGTATGTGATTATGGGGAGATAGGATGAGTTTAGAATTTTTCTAAAGACAGTGGGTCAGGATGTTTCTGTCTGTTAAGGTAATTGGTGAGTGGAAATGATGAAGCTGGGAATTTCACCTAATTAGCACCTTGTCCAACCATTGCAGAAAACCAGCCAATGAAGGTATCTCTTGAGGCCCAGTCAGGACATTTGGTTTATGAGAACGCTGTGCATAAGGGCCAAGGTTACTTTAATGGCTTATTTTCACAAACTTTCCTCCTTTGAGGTCTTTTAACTGCTGCAATCTGAAGCCTCTTTTAAATTGTTAACAAAATTAAACTTGATATGAAGAAAACCTTTGGGATTCTCAGTGGGGCTTATCTACTGTCAAGAATATAATAGGTTGAAAAATCAGCAACTATCCATTTTTAAATGATTCTATACAGCCAACAATTTAAGTCTACAGCCCCTCTATATGCAGTAGTCATTGTATAAAATCATATTGTCATGTGATTGGCATTCATTTTAAAAAAATGCTTCTTTATTAAAAAACTCTTCAAAGATTAGGTTACATTAATAGAAATAACACTTGTTAGTGGTCCTTGAGAAATACTGTTTTGTAAAAAAATTCTCAGTGGAAGCAGAATCTGTAGCCCATTCTCATGTCTGCTGTGAGTCTCTGACAGTTGCTTTTTGATTTGGGAAGATCTACGTGTGATTTTCTGAGGATGGAGGTGGGGAGTTCAATCATGTGTAACCTTCAACAAATTTGGGGGCAAAATAACTAATCACATGTTTGGATCTGTTTCCATGACTTGTATTTATTGTTTATGAGAGATCTCTATGCTTTTCTGGAAATTTATGGTGGGAGAATTTGTGGTAATAAATGCTAATTTCCTACTCACAGCGTGAATATCGAAAAGACTATGAAAAGTCCAAAACTGTCTACACGGCACCTCTTGATATGCTCCAAGTCACTCAGGCTAAGAAATCTCAGGCGATTGCCAGCGATGTGGACTATAAGAACATCTTACACAGTTACAGCTACCCCCCGGATAGCATCAACGTGGACCTTGCCAAGAAGGCTTATGCACTGCAGAGTGACGTGAGTGACCAGGTTTTCTCGAGTCCCTCTTCCGAAGGTGGAAACTGAAAAGGATTTCTAAATTGAGTGGGGTCTCGGCGCTTCTCAGAGGTGTCTGCATTGTCCTCTGTATGTAAGCAAGTGTGTGATGGGAAAATGAGCCTTGTTCTGTAAGACTTCAGGGTTAGTGAGACCTGGGTCTGGCGTGCACTCCATTACTATTTCCCTGTGGAAAAGTTACCAACCTTGCACAGTCTGGAGTCCTCCCCTGTAAAATGGACATAAAACAAAAAATATTGTTTGGAGGATTTAAATGCATGGAAAATACTTAGCGTGGTGCCAGGCCCTGGTGAGTGCTCAATAAATGTTCACTATTATCATTATCACCATTATTATAATCATCACATTCATCATTATCGATGATTTTTTTACTTAGGTAGCTATTTTGTCTAAAAAGAAAATATATCATTTACAACATCAGTTTTTTATAATAACTGGGTTTTTTCTTTCCCGCAGATCAAAAATCTTTTAGGCAAATTAATTTGTCTGAGCTACCCAACTCAATACTTTATCCTAACAATTCTATTATTTTGAATGTGGTGAAATACACATAACAAATTTACCATCTTTACCATTTTTGAGAGTACAGTTCAAGCGTGTTATGTATATATGCATTATTGTTCAGCCTATCTCCAGAACTTTTTCGTCTTCCAAAACTGAAACTCTATATTCATTAAATGACAACTCCCATTTTCCTTCTTTCCCTAGCATGTGGCAACTGCCACTCTACTTTTTGTTTCTATGAGTTTCACTTGTTTATATAGCTCATATATGTGAAATCATGCAATATTTGTCTTCTTGTGACTGGCTTATTTCACTTAGCATGATGTCCTCAAGTTTCATCCGTGTTGCAGCATGTGTCAGAATTTCCCTTCTTTTTAAAGGCTGAATAATATTCCTTTGTATGTATATGCACCACATTTTGTTTATCCATTCACTGTTGGTGGACATTTGAGTTGCTTCAGCCTTTTAGCTATTTTGAACAGTGGTGCTATGAACTTGGGTATAAATGTCTCTTTGAGATCCTGCTTTTGGGTGTATACCCAGAAGTTGAATTGTTGGATCACATGGTAGTTCTATTTGTAATTTTTTGAGGGACCACCCATACTGTCTTCCATACTGGCTACACAATTTCACATTCTCACCACTAACAATTTTATTTTATGCATTGTTATCCTACTTGTTATTTGTTTAATTTTGCTGGGTTTCTTCACCCCAAATAGACTGTGAGCCTCTCAAGGGCAGGATCCAATTGCTTTCTTGATTTTTCATTCTAGTTAAAAGGCCCACACTAAAGAACAACAATTTGAATTTTGTATCTAGGGCATAAGTTATAGGTATCATCTGTCGTTAGACAGTAAGAGAAGCTCATTATTTTAATATCATCAAGTAACTGTCCCTCACATAGGAACAATTCCAAATAGTAACTGCTCCCTTAAGCAAACTAAGGAGTGCAACTATTTTAAAGTGTTTTATCATTCCGACCCTTGCCTGATGTAAAAGAAAAGAAAAAAATATATAATAAAGTGTTTTATCAGGCAACGTAGAGACACTCCAAAGTTGACTAGTACACAGGAAGGGCCATGTGTGCAAACATTTAGTATAAATAATTAGTATCAAGTCTTGTAATAAAAAAATGGACAAAATTATCTCCCTTCCATGTAGCCTGTAGTTCTAACTTGACCATAGAAACGTAATAGTTAGAGTTCCAGGGAGCAAACACCTCACATTTGATGATCTAAATAGAACAATTTCCTTTATTCTTTGAAATGCAGCTTTGAATCGAGCATTTTCCAGATTGGAATTAGAGGTCCACGTACTTCCATTAAGTTGGAAATAAGGATGAAATGAAATACATGCCAGTTATAAGAAAAGCAAAATCCTAAGGGCTGTTGAGATCTATCACCACAGAAATGTATAAAACAAGCTTAATGTCTGGGAGTTGGTCAGAAATCACAAAAACATCATTTTGGGTAAAATGGTAGTGATTTTGTGTAATAAGGATGACACTGAGCAGAGAAATGTAACCTTCCTCTTGGTGTTTTAGGTTGACTACAAAGCCGACTACAACAGCTGGATGAAAGGCTGTGGCTGGGTGCCTTTCGGGTCCTTAGAGATGGAGAAGGTGAAGCGGGCCTCAGACATCCTTAATGAGGTAGAGCCACCGGGTGTGTCCGAGGGAGAGTTGTAAATATGTTGTGTTAAAACCCTCAAAGTCAATGGGAAGTGCCTCCTTTTTTTTTTTTATTTCAAAATTTTACGGTTTAAGTTTAGGTTACATATATTAAAGTTTAGGTTACATACATTTATTGCCTTTGCACCACCC